ATTCTGGGTTCATGTCCCAAGTCGGGCCAAGTTTAGTTATTGAACTTTTCTGTTAATAAATTCTCAGTAACAGCCCAGTGTTAGGACGTTGGCGGTTATACACCACCTTGTTGTCGATCCTCCTTATCTCTCACCGGTCATATCGAAGTATCGTCCCATTGAATTTTCAGAATGAGATGAATAGAGAGTGCACGCTGTGTCTACGCGTACACTTGTGCACTATCTCTGTGCGATTGGCCGCCGTGGTTCGACATCATGCGTGTAGTGTATCAAACTCTTAACTACTAACACTGACTAGCTGCGGGTTAAGCAAATCGTAAAACGAACATTTTTGAACATACAAATTAGTACTCTATTTATAGGAAAAAACGAAAATAAATGTAAAATTAAAAATATTTTTATTGGAAAAGATATATGTATATTATAAAGTGAAGTACTCGTCCTCGTCTTGTCGCCTGATGACAGAAGAGCTGGCTTGTTTTTAAGCCGACTAAAGAATAAGCATTCGGCATTGCCATTCAGCGGGGGAATGCGGTTAGCATTCTTGCCTCTATTCCACGCGGACATGACTTGTACAGTAATAATTAAGTGCACATTTGTTTTGTGTATGTATATGATTAAGTATTCTTGTAATTTTAATGTATATACATGTATTGTAAATAAATATTAAATAATAATAAATATAGGTATATCCATCCATAACTAGTCTTAAAAGACGTACTTAGTTGAAAATAGACTTTCTAGTATTGTGTACATACTACACGGCTACTTTATTAGTGACACGCAATTTGATCTAAGCTATCGAAAGTGTGTAACAAGCATTACTCTCCTTTTAAAGCGATCGGGTAAAAACGAAACTAATATTTTGCATAACCAGCAAGGGAAATAATTTGCATACATGAAAAGTACTTTAGTAATGCTTTGAACAACTTAATCATAACTATTATAAGTGTGAATGAATTTGTTACTCATTTACGCTGAAATTGTTGGACGGATTTAGATGAAATTTAAGATAGAGTGTGACTTAGAGTAATATAGGCTACTGATTGTTACAAAATTTGCAAAAAGTGGCTCTACCACTTACCAGTATATATCTGCTACTACATTATCAATACAAAAGCAACTTAGGGACGCCACCGAGCAAAGTAAGTGTAAGTCTCCAGTTTATCATATGACGAGAAGAATCGAACCCGATGACTTTCCTTATCAGAATTAAGCTATAACAGTTCTATATTTACACTACACTTATGTTAAAGTAGGTATATTAAAATATTTAGATACTATGTTTAAACATGTTTACAAAACAGCAACCTTGCGACGACCTTAATCGCTCGCTGATAACTCACAAATTCTTATGAAAACAAAAAACATAAAAACCTTGTTTTTATTTGTTAGTCAAATAGAATCCTATTTATATGCTTAATTGGCTTCATTTGGCGAAAGTATTTTTAAGCATTACTTATTTGTATTAAATATAGGTATAATCAGAACTGAGATAAGTTAGAGCCATAATCAACTCCCTGCCATTTACAAAATTATTTGTGGTCTTCGTCTACCACTCTCACCTATTACAATATATCAAATCTATACATATAATAAAACTGTAGAGGTCGAATGTCTGTACATAGAAAAAAAATGCTAAAAACCGAGTCAGGGGGATGTAAGAAGAGAAATAGAACAAAACTATTTTTTTTTGCATAGTGGTACCTTATATACCTTATTTAGATACTTTCATCTCATAAAATTAAAGCGTTCCCGTGGGATAGATCTGTTTGTGCTTTTCTAGAGGCGAATCCAAGCGAAGCGAGGGTGAGCCGCTAGTATTTCATAAGCAATGTGTATGTATTTTTAAACTATTAATAAATTGTTATAGTACAGAAGCATATTTGCCAAAATACACTAAATTTACATTTAAAGTCAATATGGTTGTGTCACTAAAATTCTGAATAAGCTTTATATATAAATATTTAATGTGAAACAGATATAATATTTTTAGTGCTAGCTGCTTTTGAACTTTGCTATCCCACTCCAAGCTGTGTTTTGTTTTTCAAATTACTATGATGATAATAATAATATAAGGTTTGATTTTATTATTAGGTTCCAAGAGTAGGTCTTTCTAGTACTTTTTTCAAATTTATCATACTTTTTTTCAAACATCAGTGACTAATCACTCCTTTGGGTGTATTTAAAGGCTATTGTCAATTTTATATAGTTACTACCGACTCCCTAGGTGCGTTTTTTTGAGTGGAACCCGAATTCCTTTTATAAAATAAAAGTAGCCTAAGTTACTCCTTATAACATCAGCTATCTGCCAGTGAAAGTCCCGTCAAAGTCATTCCAGCCATTTCGCAGATTAGACGAAACAAACAGACAGACAGACAAAAAATTTAAAATTGTGTTTTTCTTATAAGTACCGTAATAATTACATATGCATTAGTGGTAAAGAACTGTTATTTTAATGTTACAAACACACACTTCAATTTTATTTATCTGAATAGATAGATTTGGTTATTGGTATCTAGAAAAAATCATTATGTATAATTTATAAGATATCAATGTAAAACGTAAAGTTTGTATGTTTGTGTTCATTAATGTTAATTTGTAAATATGTATTCATAACGGGATATTTTTGTTTGCTCATAAAAGACATATCAAAGCTTATACAATCCACACAACTATAGTTTACATTTATTTTTATATATTAAAAGTTTTCCAATCCCGCTGACTAGAGAACCACTTTCAAATGCATAGTATTTGCAATTAGCAGCTGAGTCGATATTGATGACATTGAGTATAGCAGATACCTTGAAATCAAAACATAGGTTACTTTTGTTAAAAAAAATTATAATACTTTCTAAGATTTACGCGAATATTTGACATTTTAAATAAAACTATTGTTTCGGATTTTTCCGCGGATTTATTTTGATTTTTGGTGCCTGACGTTTCGAATGATCTACAGCCATCATGGTCACGGGAGAGACTAAGGTTTTAAAATCACAACTAAAAAAAAAATCCGCGAAAAAAAGTTTTTTTTTTTTAAATCATAATAAGAAAAATCTTACTATGTTAACAAAGCCGATTTGTTATTTATATAATATAATCTATATTAATATTATAAAGAGGCTTAATTTGCTTGTTTATTCATTTGTTTGTTTGATTGAACACGCTAATCTCAGTAACTACTAATCCGATTTGAAAAATTCTTTTTGCATTAGATTGCCCGTTTATTGAGGAAGGCTTTAAGCTATATATCATCATGCTACTAATCAAGGAAGCGGAGCAGTAATCATAAATGTCAACAAATCGGGCAGACTTTCGTATATTATTGTAAAACCATACATATACTCGTATAATATTATAAATACATAGGGACGAACCCGAGTAAAGCGAGGGTGAGTTGCTATGTAACATAAAGCCGAAGAGGTTTATTGTAGGTTGAACGCTGGTGAAACCGCGGGTTTTGCTAGTTGTATATAATTTAATTTGTCAACTTTGATTTAAACAGCGAGCATAACTAAAGTACCTGCGCACAAAATGTAAATCGTTATTTCACACTCTCCTACTTTTATCTGTACAGACCAGCAGACCAGCCCTAGCCGTACCGTAATACAGTAATGTAGGTAATTTACATATTGTGATAATAAATTATAATTTTGTCCTTATTTGTGAATGCGGTGTATTGCTCACTCACTTTTGCCTAGCAACGAGAGAGAAAGCCAGTTTGTTGCGTTCAAACGCAATTATCATTCCAATTTCTATTTGAAGTAGACCCTTGATAACTCATCGTTCAAGTGACAGTTTAAGTTGCTTTAGTTATACGCTCGAACGTGTCTCGGGGCAGAATTAGTTTGAGGATTTTCGCTCTCCTCGACGTCTGCTGCGGATGTAGTGTAAATATATATATTTTTTGTTACCTATCAAATTTTTAAATTTTATCCGTTTAAGTTTTGTGGAGTTTTGAATGGAATTTGGAAAATTGATTGAGAATATTATATTGGCATGTATACAGTTTTGTAGGAACAGCAGTGGTAGCACATAGTTAACGCACTCGTTCGTAAAACCTAGTGAAACGGGTTTCTATTCTGACCCTTTTTTTAATGTTGGGAAATGCATTTACGCATACCACCTGTATACATATAGGTACAGGTGGTTATGTGGAACTCACCGGGTAGAAAAACAGTACTACCCAACGAAACCTCCCCTGTCTTAATGGAGCGTTGCAGGATCACTTACGCATTCAATCACGATGCCCCGACGATAGATCTGCCAAAGCAGACCACAATAACCATAGGGTTTCTCCAACGGTCCACTCTGCTATCAGAGAAGTACCAAAGCCACCTCCCGATGTGTTCCTGGGCTTCGCGTCCAGCTGGAATGCTGGACGCTAATGATCCCGCCTAGGTGGACTAAAACTGGTTCCTATCACATTAAGGGGACATTAAAGGGGCTAAAGGTTTTGTACGAAGCTAATTTTTTAAAATATAGTCTAGAAGTGAATGAATAAAATTGTTTTCAAATTACATATTTTGGTGTCATACAAATGTTTACTTTAAGTCACGTTTCTTATGACAAAGGGTACTCGAGCTTTTATTCTTATTTGTTTACATTATGATATTGATAGCCTATTAATAAATAAACTATAACGTTTATTCGTGTTAAATGATGTTATTTATTTAATCTAATATAATATGTATATGTACATATATTCTAATACTATAAAAAGGCAGAGTTTGTTTGTTTCAACGTGCTAATCTCAGGAACTACTAATCCGATTTGAAACATTCTTTTTGCATAGATAGTCCGTTTATTGAGGAAGGCTTTAGGCTATATAATATATATCATATAATATATAGTCTATCTATTATATACATACGAACCGTTAAAATGTACCTAGGGGCGAACCCGCGCGAAGCGGGGATAAGCTACTAGTCAATGATAAAGTGTTTGTTTGAAGTGCACATGCTTTTTATAAATAGTGACTTGAGACTCGAGAGTGATAGATGAAGGTATATGAAAACTACAAATGTCGGTGCTTAACTTTTATCTAGTGACCGTCACAAAAGCTTTAGGAATCACATTTGTGTTGATTAAACACATTATTATTTCAGTCTCGTTAAACAAATGTTCTCGCGGTCAGAAGTTCTTGCAATATCTACACTGGACACTCGACACTGGACTTAATATTAAAAATATATAAATATTAAAAATTAAAAGTATCATGCCATTACAGATATAAAATCTTACTTTTGATTATGGTGAAGTAAAAAACACTGACACACAAACAATGACTGCTTTAAAGCATTTGAAACGTCAGGTACCAAAAATCAAAATAAATCGCGATCGCGAAAAGATAGTTTTATTTAAAATGTCAAATAATTGCGTAAATCTAAGAAAGTATGAAGTATGTTAAATTGAAAAAAAAAACCCTTCCCCAGGTGGCAGCGACGTCGAGCGACATGAGCGAGCGCGAGCGCTACCGCGCGCCGCCGCCCGAGCCGCCGCCGCACCGCGTGCGCGCCGCCGACCTGTACCCGCGCACGCGTACGCACTACGACGAGCCCGGCCTCGACGCGGGCTTCGCGCCGATATGTGGCGAGTTCGTGCAGGTTAGTTGGATTGATCTTTGAATTGTTTTGTTGTTGTTATTCATATCTATTGCTATGTAATGGGGTTACTGAATAATCGGTCCTCTATTATAAATGCGACAGTTTGTATGTGTATGATGCCTAATGGATACTCTTTTGCGCTGCAACGGCTGGGACGGTTTTGGATGAAATTTAGCACACAGATAGATTATGGACTGGAGTAGTATTAAGGATTCTTTATTTTTAAATATTATTATCATTTATTAGTATTAATTGTAACTATAAAAAGTGTAATGAGAATGATACGTTACTGGTGGGATATGTTGATATGTTGAAACTGCATATCATGTTTGTTTTTTCTATAGTTGTTAGAATTTTCGTCTGTCGCTAGTGAATTATAAAAACTAAATATATAATATATTTAGTACCTCCAGGTACATTTCTAAGAAATTAATTAAATTTCTAAGAAATCAATTGTTAACTGTAACGGCGGCGTGTCCGCGGTCGTGGAGGGATTAGTTACGTGTATTAAAGAGTAGTTTGTAGATATTTTGGACTCAAACAGGAAATTATATATTTATGTACAATTAGCAATTCATTCGGAAATTATTACAAGTACCTACGCAGTAAAATTCCCAATGAGACGTAATAGACGCTTTAGCTATTGTACCTTGCACTGTGCACGGGCGCTACGAGTCCACGTCAATAAGTAATTACCCACTTGATAGTATACCAGATACCTCAGAAATTATTGTTTAAAGCTAATATAGATGGGCGACTGTAAGCCGACACGTGTCGATGCCAAATGGTAGATAACATGTGGTGCTATGTTTTACGGTTGGTGATTTGCCCTTGCATCGTTTCAACCCATTTCACCCCCTGTCAAATAACTCTCTGTGTGGGAAAACTTTTTTATTTATAATACATTAATATTGATGTTAAAAATATATAATTAGGTACTAGTGACTTACCCTCGCTTCGTTCGGAGACGTCCCTAGATACGCCCCGTACGTTTATAATTTATATAGATAAAAGTAGTTATTGTGAATGTACTTTAAGAGATAAACTCATGCTATTGTGAACTTTTGTGTAGGCCTTTTTAAGACCTATAATTTTCTAGTACATTGTTTTGATGAATCTCTAAAGCTTTCCCAGCGTTAGCCATGTAATCGTACGAAAACAGTTTTTTTGTCAAAACAACGTCTAGGCGCGGTCATTTTGTACAAAATATTTACAAATTATATACACAAACCTTCTAGTTTATCGTTCTTTCTATTTTTGAAAACCGTATCAAAATCCGTTGCATGGCTTGGAAGAAATAAGCGAAGAAACAGACAGACACAGACAGCGACTGAAAATACTATATCGATTTAATGTTATATCAATTTATGTATAAAAAATAATTTAATTTTCAGGGTGCATATACATTATACATACATATACATTTAAAACGATTTTACGAATTTTTATTGTGTTGATTGTTGAAGGTTCAAAAGTGCTTGTTTTAGTTCGAATAAAGTTAATTTTCATATCATTTCATATGTACTTACTCCTCTAGAACCTAATAATTATAAACCTTTTTTTTTTTTTTTAATCCCCTCCGCCTTAATAGGACGCCGCAGGATCGCTTGCGCATGACTACTACGGCGCCCCGGCGGCAGGTCTGCCAACGGCTGACCACCACACTGATGGGGCTGCTCCACAGTCAACTCTGCTACACCAGAGAGGTACCCGGAGCAGCCCCATTAATCCGAACCTCCGCCCACCGAAGTGGGCCACCTCCAATCGACTGCAGAGGACAGGGAGAGCGGCAACGAAACACCGACACTCCTCTTCCCCTGCAGCCCCACCGCGTCCGCCATCAAACGGTGGCGGCCCCGTCTAGGCCGCGGAAGGTAGGGAGAACGGCGCACCGAAATACCGTCACTCCTCTTCCGCCGCGGCCTACCCCTCCGCCGGATGCGGGCCTGCGACCACAGTCCTGCAACCGGCACCCATCATCCGGTTGTTGGACCAAGCGGTCCCACCACCGGTGGCCGCAACGTCTTCGGCTCGAGGCCTAGACGAGCGGCCCCACCCAAGCCATTTGGTCCGCGCCGGATTTCTCCGGTACCACCCGCCGCCCTAAGCGGGTGGCATTCCCCTATCCGCCACCTGGGGACGCGCCCGGTAGGAGTTGGCTTCTCCCCCGGGAATAATTATAAACCTACTAGCCCGCGGCTCCGTCCGCGTTCAGATGACCAAAAACTAAATTCTTCGGTTTTACATATTAGTATACTCTTACATTGCAGTTTTTATATTTTCCCGCGGTAAAAAGTATCCTATATGTTGACCCGGATAACCAGCGATCACCATACCAAATTTCATCAAAATCTCTCCAGCGGTTTTTCCGTGATGCGGTAACAGACAGACAGACAGACAGATAGACAGACAGACAGACAAAAATTCTAAAAACTGTAGATTTGGTCTCTGTATCGATAATAATGTCTATTTCAATAAGATTTTCCAAAAAATATTTAATGTACAGATTCGGTTTAGTTACAATTTTATTATATGTATAGATGTATATGGGAACGCAATACGTATTATTATGTGTTACTTTTACAGTAGGTATAAAATTGATCAAAGTAAGAGTCCATATAAATATATATACAAAACAATACAATTATATGTAGGTAGGTGTATGATATATGATTTTGATTTAACTATTAAAATAACTATGTATTCATGTATTCAACCTTTTTTTAACGTCCCACTGCTGGGCACGGGTCCCCCTTTAAATACTTAAATTTACTATACACTAAACAAAATATCAATTTTCATTTATTGTGCATTACATGTTTACGATTAGTTTGTAAACATATCTATTTACTAATTACTATGGGAATAGTTGATTAAATAAACTTATAACACAAATACAAAATTGTTCATACGTCTTTTCCCTTATTAAGTTTTATGGACTTTAAATCGTCCGATAAACGATCGTACTATATTTGTACGCTGCCATGCGTGTGTTTATTCATATATGGTAGTGTACAAGTACGTACGTAAAGACGGAACTATTAAACATAGAAAATGGCTGTTGAGCATATTGAATGCTAACTACAGTTTATTTTTCTTGTTTTCTCCTATCAATATGGGTAATTGAGTCTTGTTACATTCTCATTGATATTATGACAATTGTCTCGGTGGTTTAGTGGTTAGCATGTGCGGCTGCAGGTCCTGGGTTCGAGTCCCAGGTTGTTAGGTTTTCAAGAAATTTTCAGTAACAGACCGGGATCGGAATGTTGGCGGTGTTTCTCCCGCTTGCCACGGAGAGCACAAAAGTCTTTGATCCGACGCCTGTATCATAGATATATATACCTTCACCCCACTCGGGTTTGTCCCTAGTTATGTTTTATCGTTTAGTATAGATTTCTCAGAGATGAGCTATTTTCTCGCAGTAAAAAGTATCCTATATGTTGACCCAGATAACCAGCTATCATTATACCAAATTTCATCAAAATCTGTCTAGTGGTTTTCTCGAAATGCGTTCCCAGACAGACAGAAATTCTAAAAATGGTCATTTGTTTTTTTTTTACCATCTTAACCCAATGGCATATGCCGCTTTATACGTGACGTCACATATAAATATATTAAGAATGAAGAAACTCGTGCCAATGGTTTTAATTTTACATCAAAATAATAATAATCTCTTTAAAATAAGTCAATAACATTCAATTGTAGGAAAAAATGTTTCATTATAACATTATGTAGTTATATATAGGTCGAGTGGTTTTAATCGCTTGCATTCTTTATTCACGACTCACGAGAGGGATTATTGTGACGTAATATAGTAGATTGCCTATTATATATAGATTGTAGATAGAGTGCAATAATAACCCTTCTTTGTGGTAGGTTAGGACTAACTGCGAACATAACACGTTTTACCTACCGATGTATTAGCTTGGTTAGCGATCTTATTGCATTACGTTTTATGTCAATAATAATGTTGATATCATTTACTGGACTGCCAATAGCATTTATTTTCCTTGGAAGATTATAACAACTCTTATTATCTATATTTAATAACTAGCGACTCAACCTCGCTTCGCTCGGCTTTGTCCCTAGCTTGCTTCGCCATACAAACTTTCATCCCCATTCTCACCGTATCCTATGTTCTACCCAGGGTCTCAAACTATCTTATTAACAAATTTCATCTAAATTAATTCAGTAGATCCAGAGATTACCCCCTACAACCTCACAAACTCACAAACAAAGTTTATCTCTATATAATATTATTAGTATATTAGTATAAATAATAAAATAAATACAGCTCCCGGAACTCGAACCCAGGATGACCTTGGTTTCAGTCCTGGGTGGGGTGAAGTTTAGTTATTGAGTTTTTATGTTAAAAACGTCTCAATAACAGTACAGTGTCGGTCTGTACCTGATATCTCAACGTTTCATCACGGTAATGTATCATCCTTGTCGCGAGATGTATAGGTATGTGTATGTCTCCGACGGCATAATACTATATTCCTTCGTCAACTTATTTTCATCTTTTTAGTTAGTTTTATTAACCCGATTGTATAACAATCAGGATTTTTTAATTTTTATAAAATTTATTTTAATTACAGCTTTTTAGTGTTTGCCAATTAGACATTTGAAGTAATATTTAGCAATTTTTTATCCTTAATTACTTTTAAACATATTAGTTGAAGTTATATATTATATTCTTGTGATCGCCTCTTAAAAACCTTTATTTTGGGACCTCCCTCGATTGGTTTGTAAGTTTTTTTTTAAAAGACGCAAATTGGCGCCTAAAATCTGCCATTTTTTTATATAGCCTATGACACTCGCGTTATCAAGATGAATTTAACGACGTTACGACGAATCAAAATTGGCCCACGCGTTTGGTCTCCAGAATACCATATAGGAACATACAAACATACATACTTACATATTACATACATACATAGACCGATAAACACATTACCCTCCTTAAATCGCGCATTCGGGTAATAAAAAGTATGTCAATTGATTAGTGCGGTCAACATCAACACGTCACAAAAACATACAATATGTACTTTTTATAAACATAATAAATAAACATACTAATTAATTTAAGTTAAAACCTTAATAATGCTGTAATAATTAGAATTTTACATAATGAGTTGTATAGTAGAAGAGCTATTTAGTAAAAGATATTAAGGCGAGCACGGTTAAAGGTCATCAGATCTGGCCGAGTTGAACGAACTGCACGTGGTGTATCAGCATTCTGCTCTTATGCAAATGCATTCAAATTGCAAGTTCATTGAAAATAGTACATGTGCGTTATATAAATGTACTAGCATTACTCGTGGCTCCGCCCGTTCTTAGGTTTTACATATTAGTATACTCTTAGATAGCAGTTTTTGTATGTTTTCTCAGAAATGAGACATTTTCCCGCGGTAAAAAGTATCCTATATGTTGACCCGGATAACCAGCTCTCACCATACCAAATTTCATCAAAATCCCTCTAGTGGTTTTCTGTGATGCGGTACCAGATAGACAGACAGACAAAAATTCTTAAAACTATATATATATAACTATATATGCATCGATAATAATGTTTATTTCAATAAGATTTTCCAAAAAATATTTAATGTACAGTCAGATTCGGCTAAGTTACAATTTTATTATATGTACCTGTAGATGTATTGCAGATAAGAGTAATGGATTTAATTAGTGTAAAATCCTTTTCATAGTGGATAGTTCGCAAATATAAATCGACACCTGCAAAGAACAACGCTGTAGCTCAGTATTGAAATAATTTAAAAAAAAAATAAAAAAAATTGACATTTCTAAAATAGTAATATTGTTTCTTATAAGTCAAGAAATATGTGTTTAAATTTTGTGTGTTTGAACATAAACAATATTAGTATTATGATTAAGCGGGACAAATAGTGACCTTACAGAAGGACTATTGTCTATTTTACGTTATATTTAAATTATATTATTAATATTTTCAGTTACAATAACAGTTATTATTACGTGTTCAAAATTCAAATACCGTCAACGTCAAGAATGCTGAAAGTATTCAATTTAGGTGTATGTTTTTTATATGTATGTATATTTATTATTTATGTTGTAGGCCGTAGAACCGAGTGACCGGGTTTAAATCCCGAGTCTCGCAACTCTGATATTTTCATTTTGCGAATCGTTTCCAACATGATTACCATTTGTCTGACTGTGAAGGAAAACCTCGTAAGGCAACCTGCTTATATTATTACCTATAAATAATCTAAGGCAACCTGCATGTCTGAGAGAACCTAGGGCAGAATCCATTAATTACGTGAGACAATTTTGGCGATTTCTCGAATTTTCTGTCCAAATGAAACAATGTTCTACAAGAAGACAGGTATGTATCACTAGTCCGACAAGAATTGTCATTTTTGTTTTTCTATTTCTAACATAACATAAAGTGAAAACATCTTTTTCGAATCAATCAATTAATTATAATTATTATTAACAAAAATTTATTAATGGTGCCATTAGAAACAGTCATCAATGAAATTACTATTAGGATTGGAAAATAATTCTTTATATATGTTATTCACTAATTATTTTAATGTCGTCATAATCAATCGTTTAATGTTTACCGCTCGGAATTCAAGTGTTTTATTTGATCTTGTCTGTTTTTAGGTTATCTGAGGTCTTCTATTACATATTATGAGTGGAATTTCACTTTTATACTATTTTACCATTGAACAACTTGGATTCATATTTTTAAGCGACTTCGAAAAAGTTGATTATTTGATGATGATATGTTCGACCAGTATTTTTTCTTTTGAATAACTCTAGATAGCCTAAATTAATAGTTGATACCTAGGTTAGAACCTACTACTGGTGATGTAACGAATTTCGCTTTTTCACGTTTGCGAATGCTAATGCGATTATTCATCTCCAATATTCGCGAATGCTGAATTTCAAATAAAGCGATATAAAACATGAGTAAAGCAAAATTGTGTTATCATTCAGTATACATTCGCTAAATATTCGCATCCTTTCTTGCGAATACGAATGTCCAAAAATGTGCGAATATTTGCGACTACGAATTCGAATGCAATTATTCATTACAATATATATATACACCTATTAGTAGCTACGTAATACGTTGTAAAAAGAAATAAAAGATATTAAGGGTCTGAACTTATCTTTTTTAATTTGGTATAAGTTTATTTTTAACTTAGCCATATATTCGGTATTTATTTTACTATCTGATGCTTATCGTTCCTAACTCAATATTGTATTATTTTGTATATATTTGCAGACAATTTCTGCATGGTTTTTCCACCACAATGACTACTTAGACTCTTAGAACTGCACAAATATTTAAATTGAAACTTATTCAGATTTTTATTAAGATGGTCATTATGCATTAAAAAACCTTTTAAAACTATTTGTTTTGGTGTGGTGTAGTTTGCAATGTACATATTTTACATTTATTTTTATATATGTATTATGTTTGACGATCGCTCGGCGTAATCTAAGTAATTACCTCTACACTAGTGATCACAGGTTCGACTCTCGTTCTCGATGAATATTTGTGTCAACGTAGATACATAAACTGAGTTTGTTTGTGTACTTTTTATCTAAATCTATCCAGCCTTTTCAACGTGAAGGAGTAACAAACATATACATACAATAGCAAGTTTCGATTAGGAAGTCGATCTATTGAGTATTATTTACTTTGGTTTTAAAAGTCCGCCAGTCCGCCAGTCCGCGCTGGGCTCGCGAGGTAGACTATCCTGATCCCGCTCGCATTGAGGTGAGACCCTTGATCATCAGTAGTATGTTAAAAAAAGGGCTGAATACGATATGTATACAACATAAAAACTTTGGTGTTTATAACAAGGCTAATGTAACGTATAGGTGTATACTGTATAATTATTTCCCAAATATGTTTCACCCTCAACTTATAATTAATTAAATTGAATTGAGGACTGTTGAGTCATTATGTTTATAACTTGTATCTATTTTTCTAGTGGGTAGGTCGCACATCAGACGGCGGTACTATCGCGATGTCCAACTACAGACTGCACCTACAGCCGCGCCGGCGCACCCCCGGCTCCTCAGTGCCTCTCCGAGTGATCGACGCGCTCGAGATACGCGACCTGCTCTGCTTGATCATACTCTGTAAACAGGGAAGGCAATTGAAGTAAGTGGACTTGAGTAGTTTTTGTTTGTCTTTAGTAGGTTTTTTTTTATTAGAATAATACGAAGGATTCAAAGAATTATTGAATTTTATTATACTAGCAACTCACCCTCGTTTCTCTCGAGTTCATCCCTAGGTACGTTGTAACGGTTAGTATGGAATAAACAGAATATATATTACATTATATATAGTCTATACTCTTCCTCAATAGACGGGATATCTGATGCAAAAAGAATTTTTCAAATCGCGTGAGTAGTTCCTGAGATTAGTGCTTTGAAACAAGCTAACAAACAAACAAACAAATAAACAAACAAACTCTGCCTCTATATACTGCCTATGTAATAATATTAGTATAGATTTTATTATATTTAGGATTAATTACTCGATTTTATATTTACATGGCTCAGACACTACTATGTATCTACTTTTAATGTATGTATATACGAATATTGTACCTACATATAGGTATGTGCGTATGTTGTAAAATTGGACATTAACCCAATTCTCCAAAAGTGTGTGTGTAACTTGTATAAATAATCGCATCTGTTTTGTTTAATTGCTTGTAATATGTGAATGTTTAAACGTAAAATGCTTTATTTGAATAAGTAGGTACTTTTGAAACTTTCATCTTTTTTTTATAAACCCCTTTTTAAACATTTTAGGGAATGAATTTCCGAACATCCATCCTTAGCGAATACCTACACCTTATGAGGAACCTATCTTTTGAGTTAGTAGCATTTATACTTATTGAGATTTCGTAATTCATCAGTGGCATTTCGCTTTTTTAATGTATGTACGAGTATGTACATTAATTATATCACGTATTAGTAAAGCGGCCACTTGGGCTTCTTTGTTCAGTATGAAAAGATTCTGCCTAGAAAAAAATAATCAAAGAAATACCGTTTTAATGATAACAAGACCCTCGCGGCGAATTGGGGCTAATGCCTGATAACTCATAAGTCGTACAATACAGAAAATATTTCTTAAGTAAATTTTCCTTCAATAATATGATAAGTAGGCTTCAATAGAGTGTTGTTTGTCGAAATATAATAGCGTTATTGAAATAAATATTGTTATCCTCATTATTTTATATCCTACTAGCGATTCACCCTCGCTCCGCTCGGGCTCGACCCTAGTTACGTTTTAACGTTTAGTATAGATTTCTCAGAGATGAGATATTTTCCAGCAGTAAAAAGTATCTTATTATAAGTTGACCTGGATAACCAGCTATCATCATACCAAATTTCATCAAAATCCCTCCAGTAGTTTTTCCGTTATGCGTTCACAGATGGAGAGGCAGATTCTAAATATTTCTATATATAATAATGAAAATTCTAAATCTATAGATTCGTTCTCTGTATCATTAATAATGTCTATTTCAATATGATTTTCCAAAAAAATATTTAATGTACAGATTCGGCTTCGTTACAATTTTATTATATGTATAGATTTATTTATTTCCGTACTTTATTTTCGAGAATATTCCGAACGATCGGTATAATCTAGGTATTAAAAAGTTGTGAATACAGGTTAATTGATTATAAATTGTACTACAATGTAATTCTGCTAGATAATTAATTTGATTTAATGGTGTCAGTGAAGAATGTGTGATTGCTTGATTATTACTGCGATTATCATGGCATTTGGTGTGTTTTTTTTAATTATGATAATTTTTAAGTAGTAGGTACATCTGATTAGATACTTGTGGATAAAAGTGATTTTTTACGTATTCAATGCTGAAGACAAAGGTGTTTGACGCCTGTTGGACAGTTACCTTGAATTATTCATATTAATATTTTAATTAATTAGCTGTTTATTGGCTTGTCTTTTTTCACATTTTCGGATTTCCGTAGGTACATGTGGTGAACAATAGGACCCTTATCTATTGCATTTGCCTCTACTTTTTACTTCGCTATCTGCTCCAGTATATTTTCTCGAAATCTGAATTATTCACATTTTGAATATTGTTACATAATATAGAGTTAAAAAACCTATCAAGTCTAGGGAGTCGGACTTGCACACGAAGGGTTCCGTACCATCGCACAAGATGTAACACTATGTACTATCACTATTTACATGGCGGCCATTTTGAAATTCAACGTCTTGGTTTTTTTTATTATTTGTATATACATTGAAAATTTCAATTCTCTACCTATTAGGTACGGTTCATGCCAGCCCGCTGACGGACAGACGGACGAATAGCGGAGGCTTAGATTGCTATCTCATCCTTCGGATACGGAAACCTAATTAGATGTCAGATACATACGAGTACGAGTATATCCACAGCGTAAACAAATAAATTATGATTAAGTTCTTTTTTTTTTAGTTTTAAAAGTCTTGTCAATCGTACCATGTTACAAACTTCTGTTTATTCAATCTAGTTATTTTTTCTATGGCTATTATTATTATTTTTAGTACACGTTTCCAATTTTCATGTTTTAGCATAATTATGATCCGCTGCTTTATTTTATTACTAGCAAAAAACAAATACAAATCTATCCCACGAACCGTGCATTTTTCCGGGTTAAAAAGTAGCCATGTGCTATTCCAGATTATAATCTATCACCAGTGCCTTTCATCCAAATCCTTTCAGCCCTTCTAGCGTGATTAAGTAACAAACATCCATCTAAACTTTCGCATTTACTTATAGCTTATACGAGTTGATTTAATTGTAAATTTTAAATTTCTGTACATAATTAAATTTGTAATACAAACGACCAAATACCTTTGAAAACAACAACGAATCTAAACAAATACGAACAAAACTTCAACCACGGTAATATTACATACAGTATTCCATCTTCATACAAACGGTCGAAAATCGAGTTATACCTACGCGCGTCGCGTTCGGTATACACTCGGTAGACAACCGTGCGGGGCTGTCACATCGTATAATTGGATACGAAAATTGTATAAGGTGGTTATGTTATGTAACTTTTATAATTTTGATACAAAAATAAAAAAATTATTCCTCCCGTAACTTCGCTAATGTCAAACAAAATAGTATCGAGACATCGCATGTTTTAAAAATAAAAATTAATTAATTAAATTAAAAATTAAAGTATTTTTAATTAAACCTTTTATCCGAATGCGGATTCTTTATACTATTAAATTTAACAATAAACTTTTCGTACGTCTCACTCGAGACGCAAATATTTTTAAATCTCAAATTTATAAGGGTCACATACCACCCTTATAAGTTTGAGATTTTTTTAATTAAATCTACTTATAATAGTTTTAAATAAAAAGTATAATATTCGAAATCACAAAATTAGAAAGAAACTCAAGTAGGTAGATGAAATTAAACTACTGGCCGGCGGGCAGCCCTGTCGCGTGGGTACGTGCCGCTCGGCTGTAGGTAATTATTTCAAGGACAGGCCCGAGTTGGAGTACTGTATGCATTACATTACCGTGCTTCAACCATCTTAAAAATTCACTTTACAAAACTAACAATCCTGACCTGAAACTTATATGTATATGTACATATATCCATATCAGGACGTAACGCAGGCTGCGCAATTCAAAATACTACTAACGCCATCTATTGAGTGCTAGATTAAACAACCTCGACTCCGCTTACTATGCTAGATGTCACATAATTACCAACATTCCAATCGCCAATTTGAAGCAGGTTAAAATCGACTTATCTATATTATGATCTATACTAATATTATAAAGAGGAAAGATTTGATTTTTGTTTGTTTGTTTGTATCGCATAGGCTCCGAAACTACTGAACTGATTTAGGTGAAATTTGGTAAGAAGATAGTTTGAGACCCTGGGAAGAACATAGGATTTTTTATCCCGGAAATCATCCCTTAAGGGGGTCAAAAAGGGGATGAAAGTCTATCTCTGGTCGCTAGTAGCTAACAAGAGATTAAAGAGATAGAGATAATACAATTGTATTTGATATTTTTATAATTATCAATAGGTAATATTACCTTCGTTTATTCGTCGTCCCTAGATGTACCAACAGTAGCCTACGTGTTAGACTATTGCTCCAGGTCATAGTCTATATGTGTACAAAATCTCATCGAAATCTGTCCAGCTGTCCCAGCGTGAAGAAGTAACAAACATACTTTCACAAACATACAATCTTTCGCATTTATAGTAGTAGAGTGAGTATTAAGAAAAATATTATACACAGACGAAGCCAAAGACATCAACTATAGTAGATACAACAAAAAAACTTGTGATAATAAGTAGATTTTTTCGACGCAAAATGAACAAACACTCGAAGTTTATATCCATTCATTCTGTTCAATCCACTAATAATGCTGTACGGCCCTTACGCTATGACGAAATATTACAGTCCGAGACAAAAGTTACGTTCGCGATGCTGTTGTTGCATTGTCATATTTGAATAAGCTCTTTGCACTGGCACTTTGTTTAACTTTCAATATGCTTTAAGTATATACTTCAGGTTAACTTGAGTAACAAAGTTATATAAATAACTAGCGACTTACCCCCGCTTTGCTTGGGTGCGGCCCTGTACGATTTATATAATCGTAGATAAAAACTTTTACAAACGCATAGAGCATTCTTTTGTTCTTCATAGACATATGTTATTCTTTATTCTTTACACGCGATCAGACACGCGGATCACAACTAGTTTGTAATAAATTTGTTTATAATTTTCCAGATGTTCGTTCAACACAAGCGAACAGTGCTTGGAGTGGTGGAGAAGACTGAACACTGCCCTAGTGCCCTTCAGCTCGTTGCAAGAGACCTTCGCGGCCGCGTACGCCGCCTGGGCCAAGGAACTACCTCCCACCTCCGTCCATAGAGCGCTCTTGCGCGCCTCACATGTTCCACACCGGCATTGGTTTGGACCTGAGGTAAACTATCTATTTTATCTGATTTAAAAAGGAGATTCTATATTTTATCGTATTTCTTATCTGTTACACCATTTAGAACATACATTTCTTCGACTGTATAAAGTTCAATCGTACCGTAATCATACGGAAGTGGGACCAGGACTTGTCAAGTGCTACTCGTAGAAACCTTCGACTAAAAAATTGTTTTATTTATATGCGTAGTAATTAATCTATCTACGTTTTAATAGGATATAATTAACCTTGATTTTATGGTTAATATATTGTTATATTTTCAAACAATTTTTCAATCGTCTTAGCCTTCAACCTAACTTGTAGTTATATATATATATGTATATATATATATATATATATATATATATATATATATATAGTACCTGGGCGACCGAGCCTTGCTCGGAGTTTTTGGACAAAAAAAAACATTAAAAAAAAACAAACTAAGAATTTGAATAAATACAAAAAAAAAATTAAAAACTTTGTGCCTGACCGGGATATGAACCCAGACACCTGTGGTTGTCAAACTTGCGCATTGGCCGCTTGACCATGATGCTTATATCTGAGCATGCGAAATTATCGAACATAATATTTTGCGTGGAATTATTAATTTATTGAAATAATGCAAAAGAAATCATAATAATAGTAAAGCTCTATTTATTTATTCATTTATTTATTATAAAGGCTTACTAACGAAATTTACATAAAAACATTTATTTAACATTATAATTTTACCTGTTTGAATTGCAAAATTGAATTTAAAAGTATGCACAGCTTTTTATAAAAGTATTCCATTAAAATTTTATTTGGTTAAGAGTATATAAGGAGCCATTTTAGTTGTACAATAAACAAAAGAAGAAAAAAAACTATCTAAATATTTAAATACACTTTCTTTTTAAATAAATTTAACTATCAGAAAAAATGTCTATATCACATTGCTGAAATATAAAATTATATAATTTAGTGACTATTTATTAACTTATAATTTTTTAACTAATAATTTTGTAATCTGGAATTAAATTATTTTAAAAATCTTTAATATTATTTGAAATTATATATTGTATATATATAAATTATCATTAACAAACAAATAAATAAACAATGACAATAAATTAAATAATTCAATTGAGTAAATACTAAACATTTCACAATAATAAATATAAGTAAAATTTCTTTCCATACATTAATTCTGACAATAGTTATAAATTAGGTATTTAATTTCATATTTAAATGTATTTATTTAGTAAATGTCTTTTTCATGTATAGACCCCTCTCGGTTAACTCCAAAGTAGTCCTGCATAGAGCTCTCCGTTGGAGATTATGCTTCTATGATTGCAAAGGGTTTCTTTTCAAATTTTGTTTCCAATATATAATTTGTCGTGTGACCGGCCGTACTGGGGAATAAAGATGAGGAGGTTCCTACTGTGTTTAATATACTGTATCTTGCAGTGTTGTTTTTAGTTGTTCCTGGTTATCATTTGTGTGGTTGAAAGTTAATTTTGGTTTTTGTAATATAAAGTCTTTAATATTACCAGGTATGGTTTTCTTTGTATGTTGTTTATTTGTTAGTTTTTGTTTATAATTGAGGTAAGGCGTTTCTGGAGATACAGGCAGACTTCTTTTATTTGAGTATTGGTGAGAAGTGTTCTTATTATTCTGCCCTCCCGAACCTAAAGTGCAGTAACAGCAAAAACACGAATTCGAGAAAAACGTGCCTAAAGTTTAGAATCCATAAAAATATATCAAAAAGAGACTTTTCGATAAAACCTTGAATGGAAAGTGAAAGAATATGTACCAAACTAAAATACTAAACATTGTTACGTTAGTTTTTTTATAAAAAACTATAATTATGGCAATTTTAATTTTTTAGCCCCTATTACTACACACACTTTATTTGTATAATGTTTTCAAAAACTGTTTTAAATGCAGTAAATCCTGTTATTACTGCATTTTAGACATTTCTTCCATGATTGTTACTAACTAAAGTGCAGTAATATTATGAAAATACTGCTATTTAATCTGTTTTTTTGAACAAAACACTGATATTCCACACTTATAGTAATATAAAATTACCTTTAATTTTGATAAAAATATGTAATTTCTTAAACAAAACTGGACATGCATTTATGACTATGCTATTAAAACTATTCATCAAAACATTGTACATTATAATCTAATAGTGTAAATTGTTTTATATGACTAACAATATAACAATCTTTACAAGATGTTGATAATCTTAACTAGTTAATCCACCATAAAACTATATCACATGTATTTCTCATGCATGGATCAATAAAATTTACATAAAATCTTTCTTCCGAACATAACTAATTACTAAATGAATATTCTTGTCTTACAAAAATAATAGTCTGAAAAGATTATGGAAGGGAGAACCAAGAAGAATTAACTTATATGGGAAACAAGTTGAAAAAGTGTCCAGTAGTGAGCAGCAAATTATAGCTCAGAAACTCACCGTTACAGCACTAGCGTAGCAAGTAGATGTGATGTGAAGTTAGTAGTTTTTAATGGAGTGAAGTGTGCTGAATTATTATTACTTGAAAATAATATATAATTATATTGCTGTTTGCCTATGCTAGAACTATTTTGAAAAGTGCGCCACAGCAAAGCGGAAATCTTTCTTTCCTTGTTTAATTCACCTTCTTACTTTTATGACGCTATGTTTTAAACTAGCGACTCACCCTCGCCTCACTCGGGTTCGTCCCTGGATACTTTTTTTTTGAGCGGAACTCTAATTCTTTTTAAAAAATAAAAGTAGCCTATATTACTCCCTATAACATCAGTTACCTTCCACTGAAAGTCCGTCAAAATCAGTCCAGCCGTTTCAGAGATTATTCGGGACAAACAGACAGACAAAAAATTTTAAAAATTAGTTTTTCTTATAAGTACCGTATATAATTTCATATGCATTTAGTGAAAAGGTTTATTTTGACATTACAAACAGACACTACAATTTTATTTATCTGTATAGATGTATAGATTCATATACTTGTTTTCTGTGGCGCCACCAATTTAATGCTTGTCAGCGGTCACTTTTTATACGAGAAATAGTTCTCCTTAGTTCTACCCTCCATATCTCTTTGGTACAGACACAGCATGGCATGTCAAGTCAGCCTTAAGCCACAGATCCTTGAGACAGACAGACAGAAGGACTGCCTCAAACCGCGATATTGCCTGTCCTGTGTTTTAATATTTTAATAATTTTACCTATTAAAACGCAGTATTAGGGAATAGTATTTGACTTTAAGTATTTTAGGTAGTATGACTTGGATGGAGCAAACTAACTAATATGCAGTAAAATTTATAAATATTGTAAACTAAATGGTCTTTTACAAGCAACTACAAAACATCCTACAAGTTAAACTGCAGTAAAGTTATTAAATACTGCATGTCTTTTAGTTTTTCACAAGAAATTACAAAATCCCCCACAAGTTAATGTGCAGTATGGAATGTTAATACTGCATTTTAATAAGTTTTTTCTTGAATCTCCTAGAACAAACTACTATTTTAAGTGCCACAAAATATGATAAAACACTGCAGTTTAGTTAGGAAACAGAGAAAAATCTTGTGCAGTATTAATTGTACTGCGGTTTAGCTGGTAAACATGGAATATTTTAACAGATTTGTGATATTTTTGCTGTTACACCTTCCGAAAAAACATTAAAATAAAATACTTTTATTAGCGCTACAGAAAAAAGAATTAATTTGACTGATAGCTACTAAAATGGGGATTTTGAATATATAATTAACTCAAAACCGACCAAAATGTCTATTACTGCACTTTAGGCTCAGGTGGGCAGTATTATCCACAATAATTAGTTTGTCATATTTAAAGAAAGCTGTTTTGCCTAGGTCTTTTTCTTTATCTTCAGTTGGGTTTGTAACTCCTTGCGTTTGTTTAAGACTATTTTTTCCTCTAGTTCATGATAGGATTTTTCACCTTCTTCTACTCTGAACATAACCAAGTTCTTGCGCCTAATATGTCTTTCTAAATTATTTATTGAGGTACTTTGTTCCTGGATTTTTTTCTCAAGAACTTCAATTTTTATTTCTAAGTGTTTAAATCTCTCATTTAAGTATATTATTGTTGATTGTATTTTTAATGTCTTCTTTCATTTCTAACATTTCTGTTTTCTGCTGTCTTATTTCTTGTTGCATGTTTATTAGCAATTTTTTTGTCCTCCATCTTAAGTGAGAAGTCGGAAGTAGAAAAGCTGATTGAAAAAGAGCACCAATTAATTACCTATACCTAGTTGAATTGCAATTTTATACCGAGTATTAGTTTTTGAGGTTATAAACTTATGTTTTAATATTTTACGCTTTCACTTCACAAATTTATTTTGTTTTATTGTCATCACACACAGAAAAGATGGTTTTGCACTGATAGTATCTATATGTTATGTTTGTCACTTTTGTATTTGTTTGGTAGGTGAATTTTTAAAAGCTCATTTGTTCTTCAACACATCAAGACTTGGTGATGTTTACATATTGCCCATAGATTTTATAATTTATTTTTAACACTTTTCTTTAGATTATTTCCACTATAATATTTTTAAACTTGATATAAATACGGACACGATGTAGTGTAGACAGTTGCGCCTCCCACCCACCAGAAGTGACAACTGACAACAGACAATGCAAAAATTGTGAAAATGCAAAAGAAAATCACATGAAAATTCGAAAACTCGCGTTTTTCCAGATATAAGACTAATCTAGATCGATTTATCGCCCCCGAAACCCCGTGTATGCTAAATTTCATGAAAATCGTTGGAGCCGTTTCCGAGATTCAGATTATATATTGAGATATATATATATATATATATATATATATATACAAGAATAGCTCGTTTAAATATATAATATATATATATATATATATATATATATATATATATATATATATATATATAGATAATACCAAACATCCAAATATAATGGGAAAACATGACAAAATCGAAAAATTCTACAAGCAATAATAATATATTGTTATA